AATAAATCTGAAATTAAAGAAGATATTTTAAAAAACCGCTTTTAGGGGATTATAGATTTTGTTGCGCTGGTTCTAGATATGTTTACGAAGGACGGCGTCAGCAATGTCCGAGCAACAACAAGACAAAGACGTAAAAGAACTAGCCGACCGAACTAGCTCAGTTGATCGATTGAACGAGATCGGATCGCTTACTTTAAAGACTGAGCAGGCACAAGTGTATTATTACTAAACAGGAGATTATGTTTGTTAGGCAACTCAATTAGGATTATACGAGTAGGTATCTATCTACTATTCCTTCGCCACTGCGACATGTATCGAAAAGTTTTTAATTATCCATAAAGAAATTTAAGAAATGTATCAGCTGACTCTACTCTATAGTCATATGGGAATACATTTTTGTTCCGTATTATGAGTAGAACACGTGGAACATTTTCAAAAACAACACTAGTGTGCAATATCTTAACAATCACTACCTCTCACCACGTGTCTTCTTTTGAATTGATACTTAAATTGTTTTCTTAGTACTTAATTATACTTTCAACGGTTGTTTAATGCTTACAATGTTTTCGTTCAATGATATCTCTTTATTTTGACATATAATAATTAATTCACCTGATTTTAGACATAAATGTGCTGGTTAGGCAAATCGTGTTTTATTTATGTGCCCTATTGCCTATTATCTACAACGTCATAATAATGGAGTATATAAATTTTACTTTTTTATGATATACGAACACGACTGTTCATAGCGGTTGCAGTACCACTCAAAGCTTTAAATCCCGAGGGGCACTGCCACTGCGCCCATCACCCTGAGACAAGTTGACAAGTCCCATAATGTGCCTGTAATTAAAAACTTGAACGGATTTCGGAATAATTCTCACCTAATAAAGAATAATATAATAAATCATTTTAGTCATTCATTCTTCATTACTCAATCCATTCTGTCTGTCCAATAGTCCTGCGAAACAGTACTCCACGCGTCTCAGCACGTGTCAATTAACCTAGGAGTCCACACGTCATACAGCCGAATAAAAATCGTGTGACTCGATAACTTTCACTTTAATTTGCTTTTTTATGATACCGGAACTAACAAGTTATGCGTCTGGTGATAAGCGACACGCCTGTCTATAACAGTTGCAGTGCCATCTACAGCTTTAAATTACAAAGATCTGAGAGGTATCGGGCACGGCCACTGCGCCCGTCACCATGAAACAAGTTGACAAGTCCCATGTGCATATAATTCCATCAGCACCCTTACACTTTAGAACTGGATCGCAGTAATGCTGAGACATTAGCGCGTGGCGGCAGAAACAGGTAAGATGGCAGTACTTCACTGGACGAACTCTTTCACAAGGTCTACTGCTACTATATATATGCTTTTATTGAACACTCAAAATTATCACTTCCTTCTTCTTAATTCAGAGAGAGATTCTTGTACCCACAAACCTCTAAGGGTGCAAATGATATATAGATATAATATAATGACGAGGATAAGTTTATTGGGGGCAGCAACAGCGATGAGCAAGGTAGATAATATTTACAACTGTCAACGAGTGAAGTACTGTGGCATATTCGGACGTAAAGCCTACAAAGCTTTTATTCACTCAAAAATTTATCTTTACGTTTGTCCTTATTCTTAGAAGTTTGGATAGAAGAATTAACCATTTTTTAAACGCCTACAATTTTCACAAAGTAAAATATTAAAATAAGTAATGTACATTTAAAAGTATTCTACAAAACAAAAGAAACTTGTGTACGTTCCTAAGCTAAAACCGAGTATAATTCATGTTATTTTCACACCAAATAAATACAAATAATAAGTACCACTGTAGTCCAACCTGATAGAAACGCGAATGCAGAAGGCGCTGTCCACAAGATTTATTGTAAGAGATGATAAAAAAAGAAAAGAAAGCTGTAAGAAATAGTAAAACGATATAAAAAGGTACAATTATAAGCATTGAGTATATAACCAGAAATAGCATTGACTTCATTGACTTACAAATACACACATTAAAAGTGTCTAGGGATCAAGTACGTTTAAGAGTATTGCTGCAATTAGGGTTAATTATATTAACTTTTTTGTATCGCTATTGATACTTTTTAGTGAGTTTTAACATTTAAATAAGGAATATTGTTTAAAATTCGATAATAAGAAGAAAATCGATTGTCAATGTGGTTTTGTATAAAAATGAGTTATAGCGTTTTGACAAAATCATTACAATATCTGCATCGGAACCGAAACAATTTACATTATTATGGAGAGACGACATCATTTAACCCGAGAAGTGATGATGCGAGCCGTCGGAATGTTGGAAGCTGGTTCCAGGCAACGTGCTGTGGCTTTCACTCTTAACACTACACAGAGCGTCATAAGTCGCCTCTGGACGCGCTATCGCATGACGGGTAGCGTGGCCGAGCGCCATGGAGGACGATCTCGCATCACGACTCGCAGACAGGACCGGTATATCCAAAATACTGCTCGACGGAATCGTACCATGACCGCCATGATGTTGGTTACGAGGCTCCACAGCTCCTCAGGCTTGCTAATAAGCGATCAAACAATCCGAAATCGTTTACGTGAAGTGGGTCTGCGATCCAGAAGGCCGCTCAGAGTTCCACCTATTGCACCCTGCAATCGCAGGACCCGCGATGGGCTCTACGATACGATGGGCTCGCGAACACAGAAACTGGGAGGAAGAAGACTGGCGCTATGTGTGCTTTTCGGATGAATCCCGCTTCGGTATGAGACCGTATACAAGACGTACTCGAGTTTGGAGAACATCTGGACGTCATGAACGTTTGAGATATTGTCAGGAAGTTCATCCATATGGTGGGGGAACAATAATGATATGGGCCGGTATTTGGATCGGCGGAAGAACCGATCTCATTTGGATCAGGGGTAACCTCAATGCTCAAGTTTACGCAGAGAGGATTCTTTCAGATGTTATCATCCCTTTGCGAGGCCAGTTGGGTGATTCATTTCAACTAATGCATGACAACGCACGTCCACACACGGCTAGAGTCGTAACACGCATTCTTACCGAAGCTCGTATCAACGTTCTGCCGTGGCCTGCTCAATCGCCAGACCTCAATCCAATTGAGCACGCATGGGATATGCTTCAAAGAAGAGCTGTGCCGAGTATGCATACCATACATACTCTACAACAATATTTTGACTTGTTACAAAACACATGGGCGGCCATTCCTCAAAGTGATTTTGATGAACTCATCTTAAGCATGCCAAATCGCTGTAATTGTGTGATTCGTGTTAATGGTGGAAATACAGATTATTAATTTTCTTATCTTTACAATAAAAATGAGCAAAATCATTTTCGCCATTTTTTGTCATTTAATTGACGCCGTTAATTTGAGTTTTTTCCCACAATTTGCAAAAACATCAATTTTAGTTTATTTTAATTAAATATAGGGGTAAGCGGTTAAATAAAACATAAGCATTAAAGTAAGAAGTCGTCCTGGAAGACTGGATTTGGTAAATATTGCTTAAATAATTTTTATTTCAAAAATATTCACTTGATCCCTAGACACTTTTGATGTGTGTAAATGGACGACGGGTCT